CAGGATGGTGAGAAGGATGGAGAAAGGGGATGAAAGGGAGAAATAAAAAAAGAAGAGGAGAGGGCAAGCGGGAAGGAGAGGGAAAATGGGTGGGGTAGGGAGGAGGAAGGAAATGAGGGATCACCAAGGAGTGAGCAAAGTTCAGGGGACTACATGTAGAAGGCCAAAGTCAATCCAGTAAAATCACTCTGTTCGGTAGGTGTCTTGTTGTTTTGAAGAGAGAGAATGAGGCCTTCCATCTGCCTGATATCCTTCACCCTACGCAACAACATTGTTATTAAAGGAGAGGAAGGAGTCTCTCCATGTTAGGGGAATGCAAGATTTGGCTATATTTGGGAGGTGATAGAGGATGGATTTCTTGAAGGTTTTTATGGGGATGCTTGAGTGGTGTAACTGGAATTTTCTCTGAACTTTGTCTAATAGGGTCTAAGTTTTGGACAGGACCAGAACACATAAAGAATTGAGCCTTTGTCAGTGTTGACATGCCAATGTTGGGGAGTAACCTCTGGGTAGAATTTGTGGATAAGAGTTGGAGCTCTTGAAATCTAGTGCAGATAGAAGATTTCAGTGATTGACTATTGGCAATTTTCTGGTATAAAAGTTATTTGTAGGTCTATATTTCATTGTTTGTTGTAAGGGACCATTTGGAAAGAGAGTTTTACAATGGGCCTGGGTCTGTGCATAATGTTCTAAAGCTATTGAGGGGTCTTGAGAGTGTTGCAGGAGATGGTAGGGAAGAGAGAAGGTGTCTGAGTTGCAGAGCTTTCCATAAGTCTAGGTTGAAGGGGGCATAGGGCTTCCTATCCTCAAAGCAGACAATTTTAAGTCTTTACTAAACTTTTATTCCATCTTATCACAAAACATTGTACTAGTAGTATTGTAAAACATACAAGTGGTCTTATGCAAGCTTAACTAATTTATACATTTCTTTGGAGTGCAGTCATTTTATCTCTGTGGGGTCTTTTTCTTAAAAATCATTCTATGTTTGGCCTTTCTGTTAAAATAGATACATAAACAGAGACTTCCTACGTTCAAATGTTATCGGCTATTTCAATGCTGTTACTCTTTTCACATTCTTCAGCATTGTTCGCAAAACACCCACTCCTAGTTAGCGTTGCAACAGTACTGTATTTCCCCCATTTGTAATTCGTTTGTCTTATTGTGGAGTAATAATCACCCAGTTATGAAAAAATGCTTTGCAAAGTTTTGTATCTCTACGATTCCGCTGCTCAGTTCCTCTGAAATCTGTGATGATTGGCAGATGACTCATAAGAACAGATCTTTCTTTGGAAGAGTAGAGTCAATAACCATACTTTAACCCCTTCACGCCTAAGAGTAAAACAAATCTTAATGCCTAAGCACAATTTTGCAACGTTGACATGTGTTAGTAAACCCGTACATATCATTACAACTACATTGCACATCCAGGTGAATTATACCTTGTTTTTTCTTCAGGACAAATTGGGCTTTCATTTGGTGGTAAATGGTAATGGACATCTCCTGATTTTTTTTTATTATCAAAGGAAAACTGGCCCAAAATAGTAAAAAAAAAAAAATCATTTTTTAAATTTAGCCGTATGTTTCTTGTTACTACTATAACCTACCACCAAAGAACAACCCAAAATAATTTTCCAGCTCTTGACGATCGCAGTGATACCATATATGTGTATGTTATTTGTTGTTTGTACCTGTAGTACAGTCCAGAAACAATAGAGCGCATTTTGTTTTTTTGGGTTTTTTTTTTTTACCTAAAACACACTGACACTAACTGACACTGATACCAATTTTTCCTTTTTTAATCCTGACCTTTGACCCTGACTTCTGACCTTGACCTTTGACTCTGACCCTGACGCAAACACTTACCCTGGCACTAGATCAAACCTTGATCTAGTAATTTTTTCTTTATTTTTGTTTTACTTTTTAATATTTATTCATTTATCTTTCTTTTTTTTTAGCAAACATTTTTTCCCTCTTTGCCAGGAATTAGATAGATACAATGTATCTCTCTCCTCCATTCATAGAGAGATAAAAAACCCCAAGGGGGCCGGGCTGTACTGTGACTGATCACTGTGATAGCCAATCAGAGGCTATCACAGCGATCATGTGACCCGGAATCGGGAGTCCCAGGTCCCGATCGTTAGAACGGGAGCTGGAGCTCTCAGTGACACTCCAATCTTTGCGCTGGGAGTGCGCCGTGCAGTGCGCTCCCAGAAGAAAGACAGGTACGCAAATATGCGGCCCCACAGAAAAAAGCCCAGTTCTATGAGGCCGCATATTTGTGTGATGTCGGCGCAAAGGGGTTAAGCACCTTTGTTGTATGTCAGGACCAGGGCTTTTTTTCTCAGAAAATAGGTGCTGGTACTCCCCCCTTCTGAATCACTTCTTGTCTCCACTCTGCTACCCACCTCTGAGCACCAACACTTGGTTCCACCCTCTACCTACCTCTCAGTGCCGCCCCTTTTAGAATCAAGTATCATTTGTATGTGTTAATGATAACAAGAAAAGCATTAAAACCAATATCCTGCAGCCAGAAACAATAGCCCTCACCCTAGCAAAAATAGAACCACTCAATAACAATAGATTCCCCCAGCAACATTAGATGTCCCAGAAACAATAGCCCTCCATCCAGCAACTATAGACCCCCTGTAACAAAATACTTCCCAATAACAATAGATCCCCCTGCATCAACAAACAAGCAGCTATGAAAAAGGAAGAAACTCACATGATCACCATACCTAGTGGTACCTGGTTTTATGTTGCTTGGAAGATGTCCTGTTTGTTTTGGGAGGAGAGAATGAGGTCTTCCATCTGCCTGACATCCTCCACCCTACAAAACCATATCGAGGAAGGGGGAAGTATTCTTTCCATTTTTGGGGAACGAAACATTGGGCAGCATTTGGAAAGTGACGGAGAAGAAATATTTTGTAGGTTTTTTTGAGGATGGTTGAGTGGCGTAACTGGAATTATTGGAGATTTCTCTTACCTTGTCCAGAAGTGTTCAGGTTTTGGACAGTAGAACACATAGATTGTAAGCTCGAAAGAGCAGGGCCCTCGAACCCCTCATGTATTGTTACTGTCTTGTCTCATGTTCTGTCCCCCACTATAATGTACAGCGCTGAGCAAACCTGTTGGCGCTATATAAATACTGTATAATAATAATAATTGAGACCTCGTCAGTGTTGAAATGCCAGCATTGGTTAGTTACATTTGTATAGAATTTGTGGATAACTTTTGGAGCTCTGTACCATCCAGAAAATATTTTGAAGTTGGTTTCTTGAAATTTGGAGCAAATAGAGGATTTCAGTGCAAAATGATGTATATTTAAGGCAATGTTCTAGCTTAAAAAGATATTTGTAAGACCTTCCATTGAGACCTCATCAGTGTTGAGAATTGAGACCTCGTCAGTGTTGAAATGCCAGCATTGGTTAGTTACATTTGTTCTAGCTTAAAAGATATTTGTAAGACCTTCCTTTTTTTTAAATGAAGGATCATTGACCTTTGTTTGAGAAATACATGTGTAGAGGATGTGCCTGAATCTGTGCATAATGTTTCAAAGCTAGAAAGGGGTCTTAAGGGTGATGCAGGAGATGGTAGGAAGAGAAAAAGTGCGTGAGTTGCAGAGCTGTTCATCAGGCTAGATCAAAGGGGGCGTAGTGCTTTTTATTCTGTAAACATGCAGTTTTAAGTCTTTACCAAACTTTCATCTTGTCTAATCCCAGAACATTGTACCAGTAGTATTGTAGACATCCAGGTGGTCTTATGAAGGCTTGAGAAACGCAGCAATTTCTTTGGAGTGCAGTAATTTTTTTCTGTTGTGTCCTTTCATAATTCTATGTTGACATTTCATTTTAAATGGATACACAAGCGGAGGCTTTGATAAGTACATATGATTTCTGCAGTTCCTATGATGTTACCCTTTTAACCTCTTTCAGCATTGCACAGTAACTCTTACCATAATGTTTGCAGAACACCCACTCCTAAGGAGAGTTACAACAGGACTGTATTTCCCCAATAGTGTATCTTATTAATGAACATCCAAACCTGAAAAAAAGCTTTGCAGCTTTATGCATCTACAGTCCTTTTGCTCAGTTCCTCTGAAATCTCTGGTGAATTAGGGATGATTCATAAAATCAGACTTTCTTTGGAAGAGCAAACTCAGTGACCATGCATTAAAAGGCTTTGTTATAGAGCAGAACCCAACTACACATTTAATCACGTCTCATTTATTTGCAAACTTCAATCGAATTACTTCTTTTCATGATATCATTATCCTAGATGTTTGACCTATCAATGACAACAAATTGGACAACAGGCAACCAGTTACTTTAAAGCCATCTCCCATTGCATATAAAACTCACTTTCACTTTCCTGGTTTAGTCAAATGTGGGCTGTAAGCAAGAGAAATAAGTCCTCTATAAGCACCATATCTGTCCCAACCAGGGGCGGACTGACAACTCATGGGGCCCCCGGGCAATAGGGGATCATGGGGCCCCTGTGTCCTTGCCCAAACTCAAAAAAGCCTATGAAAAATGTACCAGGGGCATCTCATGGGGCCCCCTACTGACCCCGGCCCTCGGGCAGTGCCCGAGTTTCCAAATGGTCAGTCTGCCCTTGGTCCCAACTGAAGCTGAGGATTGTCCCCCTGCAACCAAATGACTAGGCCAGTCACTATGCTCTTGCATTCTATATTTCTCAGGCCCCCCACACTTTTCTGATATAACCAGGGCCTTTTTTCAGTAGGAATGGGAGGAAAGCAGTACTGGCACCTCCAGCACTGAATGTATGTAATGGCAAGGGGTGCTGGGCTTTGCTGAAGGGTCTATTGATACTGGCTCCTGGGGAATCTATGGTTGTTGGAGGGGATCTTTTGCTATATGGAGGATCTATAGTTGCTGATAGGGGATCTATTGATGCTGGGGGGATCTATTGTTACTGGCTGCTAGAGGGTCTAATGATGTTGGCTGCTGGGAGATCTGTTGTTGCTGCCGTGGGTCTATTGTTGCTGGGGTGGACCCAGGGGCGGACTGACCATTTGAAAACTCGGGCACTGCCTGAGGGCCCGGGGTCAGTAGGGGGCCCCATGAGATGCCCCTGGTACCTTTTTCATAGGCTTTTTTGAGTTTGGGCAAGGACACAGGGGCCCCATGATCCCCTATTGCCCGGGGCCCCATGAGTTGTCAGTCCGCCCCTGCGTGGATCTGGTGTTGCTGGGGAGGTGAAATCTGTTTTGGAAGGGGTCTAGTGTTGCTGGCTGCAGGAGGATATATTTTACTGTATTTTGTTATCGTTAACAAATTCCATACAACATTTGTTAATGATAAAGCACCACAATAAAATTCTTGGTTCTGTATTCTCTAAAAGGGGCGGTATTGGGGGGTGGTTAAAGGGCAAAGACTCGGAAGAAAAGGGGGTGACTAGGAAGAAACGAGTACCTGCACCTATTCTATGAGGAAAAAAAGGATATAACTTTTATATCCTTAACAATGTGCTAGCAACCAATACATAGCAGAAAGATGGGTGATATAATCTTGGTTGTTCAGAAGCTTTTAATCCCTCTGATTCCAGAGGTTTCTAAGAGAGTCGATAAGATGAATCACTAAATCACTAGTATTTGTAATTTATCGATGGCAATGAATGTTTTAAACGTAGAACATCTAATGTGATAGGAAGAGCAGGTGCCCTGGAGCAGATCTTGACACGCACAAAGCGGGAGACCTAAGGCAGCAGATAAAAATACAAACGAGTCCCGGAGTTAAATTCAGCTTATGTCTTGTTGCAATTTAATTTGGTAAAGTGATTTGTATTGTAATGTAATAATGATGGATCAAAACACTCGCCGATCTGCAGATACCTTTCAGGACATTTAAACTAGAACAATGACAGATCCCAGCAACAATCAGCCTTAGTGAAAAACTTAGTGAAACAGAAAAAAACAGGACACTTTTTAGCAAGGTAAGCATTCCCTTTTGATAGATTGCTCTTTTCTGACAATTGACAATCTTCCTCAGCTCCTGCCACTCAATTATTCTGATTAAAGCTATTTTGGGGGCAAACTAGATCATCAGGCTTGAGTATCTTTGGAGGTTCTCAGGTAAATGAGTGTTCAGTCAATTGGACTATGCATGTGTCTGACTTCTTAAAACCTTTTTTTTAAGAGCTGATTCAGAGCTGATTCACACATGTGCAGTGAGGATTGAAGCTCAAGTTTCACAGCTAATTGATACAGTAGTTGTTCACAGGTTCATGTCAGGTTTACATCAGGTTCTGGACAGGATTAGCTCAGGATCTTATCCTGTTCACACATATGCAGTTGAGAAACGGTTCCCATAGAAGTCAATAGCCTGTAATCTGCACTTAAACCAGACTGCACTGCTCAGAAATCAGACATGACTCTTTTTAAAACAGCACTGAATCTGCACAGGCCATGCACCGAACATATATAAACAGGACATATATGAACAGGCACCATAGGAAGCAATGGTATTTCACATGTCATGCGGATTGAATGCGGTTCAAAAATATCTTTTTTCTACATGTTTAATCGCCATGACCTCCAGGCAACCAAAGTCCTTGGTGTGGGTGTGTAGGAATGTGTTTGTCACAACCGTCCTTAACCCCTTGGCACTGGCACCTCCCGGCCCTTTAACCTCCCTAGCGGTCTGATTATGTCAGTATTTCTGTGCTCAAAGCAGTACATTGTTTTCAATGGAAATATGTTGTTTTTTTTTATTGTAGGCCTGTAATTCGTAGGAATAACTCACTGAACTCTGTCAGAACAAGAGTCTAGTAAACATCCCGGGTAAAATTTGAATCATAAATTATAATATAATAAATAATCATAAAAAATAATAATATAATAATACATTTAATTCAATAATGTAGTCAAACCAAAAACACTGAAATTTGAAATAGAGAGCTAAGTTCGCACATCGCTGAGCAAAGTCGCAAAATCGTTTTCAGTGTCTGATGACGAATTTCCCCCACGAATCATTATCACTCAATTCTGCAAGTGGTTCTGATTTACTATCGCTGTTCTCTAGCTGGTCTAAAACCGCTTTTGATCTAAAGAGACGCTTTTTGGATGTCATGGACATTCTCAAGTTTCTAGGCAGAAAGAACAGTAAAAATGCAGGCAGGGCGCAGGACAAAGCACTCGGGACAAAATGTATGTGAAATATTTTGATACAGTAATGTAATACTATCAGATTTTAATGTATTGAGTGAATGTCAAATTTTTACATTTTTTAAATTCCCGCCAGTTCCTTCCACCGTACGTCTCAACACTCGCAGGGAATGGAACCCGGAAGACGGATGCCGGCATCGGCCAGGGAGCATGGCCAGAGACGCTGCAGGGGGGAAATCGCGGGAGCGCAGGACAAGGTAAGTGCTCGAGGGATTCCAAACCAACGCTGCAGGGTAATCCCGAGTGTAGCTCGGGGTTACCGCTTCTGGTACTGAAACTTTACCCCGAGCTACACTTGGGAATACCGCCAGGCAGGTTAAGGGTTTTAGAAGCCGGGAGGTGGGCGGGGTTTTAGGGTTATGTGTGGTCACATGATCGGGAAGGGCCCCGATAGAAAGAGGAGATCGTGACCTTTCCGTGAGTATCGTGAGCGCTCTCGGCACATATGTTTTTCTTAATAGCATGCAAGTGTGCGGCCGCTTGGCGTCAAGGCCCAGATGCCGGGAGGCCGCAGATTTGCGTGCGGTTGGCACCAAGAAGTTAATCAACCTGCGGTGTTCTCCTATAGGTTCGCGTAGACGGCATATAGTGCGACCCACATATAATAGCTTGCAGGGACATGAAAGCATGTAAATGACGTGATCAGAGGCACAAGTGATGAACTGTTTAATCTGAAAAACATTGCTTCTGTGGTCTGTGACATTAGAAGGGCCGTGTGTGATAGATTGGCAAGTGAGGCAACCTCTTTTTTTGCACTTAAATATGCCAGTTCTGTCATCAAAATATGAACGAATGTTCATATCTCTTTTTGTTGTAGTAGTTAACTTACTTGGGGCCAAAATATTTTTTAGTGTACGAGCCCTTCTGAAGGTGACTTGGGGGGCTGAGGTGAGAGCCGGAGCTAATTTAGGTTCAAGTTGGAGAATATTCCAATGTTTGCGGATGATTTTGGAAATACTCCGATGAGCCACATTATAACCTGTGACAAATCTAAGTGCATTCGCTGTTGCTGGGACTTGGATTTTTTGTTTTTTACACTAGTGGGACTACCATGTTTTAAAAAGGCCCCATTTATTAGAGAGGGGGGATAACCCTCCTCCAAGAATTTGGAAGACAAAATTTCCCCTCGCCTATTATATTCCTGAAGCTTGGAACAGTGTCTCCTAAGTCTATTGAATTGGCTGCTGGGGATATTGTTCTTCCAGGCGGGGTGATGGTAACTCGAATAGTGGAGGTAGGAATTTCCTCCCATTTGCTTAATGTGGTAAGACAATATTATGTGCATTAAACACGTGAGTAAAAGAAAAAAACCAAACGCATTTGAAATACAATGCATTACATATGATAAAAAAAGGCACCATAGGAAGCAATGCTTTTTCATATCATGCAGATTGGATGCAGTTCAAACCGCATCCAATCCGCATATGTGTGAACGGGCACTTTGACGTGTGAAAAAAGAAATAAACATAGAACTATAAAACAGTGCAGGAAAACATCTGCATATGTAAATTTCAAACAAGTGTAAACCTACACAGGTTATATTAGTAATACACTTTCCATCACCCAGATATATTAATGTCAAGAAATCAGAACAATCGTAAACTGGGTCAGAGATCAAAGCCAACACAGAATCGCTTGTGTCTTGAGTGTCTAGTCATGGGCCCCAGATATTAGTAAACTTTCGAGGGCACCCCCTTGTCTAATATGTCAATTGATAGAGTGGCAGTGCTTGGTTAATAAGCCTTTTCCATGACCCAAGATGTAGGACTTTAGTACGAGTCCAGTGCAGTACAAACATTTTCCTAGCATAGTATAACAACAAGCAAAGGAAGTGTTTGGTCACCGCAGAGACCTCCAGTTCCTCCTATATACCTAGAAGGCACCATTTGGGGCAACATACATTGGGTAGGTCAAATGTTTCTGCAATAAGTGCTGTAACTTCTGCCCATAAAGGACAGATCCTATTACAGCTCCAAACCATATGCAAGAAATCCCCCATCTCGCATTCAGATTTATGACAAGTTGGAGTGGGTTTCAGGTGATCAGCTTGGAGAAGGGAGCATTCGAACCGGGTATTACTAAGACAAAGACTTCTTGCAACCTTGGCTAGCACCATGGTCCCTGCCTTTAGCAACAGAATCTCAGCAGAGATTCTAACTCTTCCTTAAGCTATCCAAAACTAAAAACAAAGGTTTTGACTGGAGATGCACTTTAAAACTGGTCCTATCACATGTGCCATTATGTCATGGTGCTGGTTGGCAGAAAAGGATTCTGCCAAACACCCTTCTGAATGCCAAGGAGCCCACTGGCCACCAATGAGATATAACAATAGAAATGCCCTCTTGGGAGTTCCCTGTACATCTTACAGGTAAATTGCCCAAAACAGCATAAAATCCACAAAGATTCTGCAAGGATATAGAGAGCTTTCATGTATAAACTAAGTCACATCTTTCTCAAAACACACCCTTTACTTCTAATTTGACAAGTCTTTATCAGTAAAAACACATATCAAGCATGTACAGGAAACAACAATGAAGGAACTTCTGACATATTTATCTATCTGTATTGGATTTCTTAAATAAGCATAGTTATGGCCACTGAAAATATTTCGTTTTACCTTTGTGCAGGCATGGAGAAAATAAAATGTGTATTTCACTACGCGGTAAACACAGTAGCCCACAATTATGGAGTAAGGCAAGCAATGTGTGTCTCACACAATACACCAAACAAACTGAAAGATTATAAATAAAAAGTGCACAGCTCCTAATTAAAACATAAAAATTATTTAATCCACATATGTGCATAATACACATAATTATATTGCTCTTAATTAAAAATCAACTCATCCAGAATTTCCCACATGTGCATAGTAAACGGTGACTTTCATCACCAGTGCGATACCATCAGTTAGGTTTGAAAATATGTGCTAATGATATCCTACTCAATTTAACACCCACTTACAAAATTAATCCCCCCAAATCCAAAGACAATATAACATGAATCAAACAGCTTAAATAAATAGAT